GGTGGGCCCATTTTACAGGTGAGATAAAATGTTCAGAGAGGTGAAGCCATTAGCCCCAAATCACACAGCCAGTGGATGGCAGAGCCAGGATCTGCTTGAATTCGAAGCCCTTGCTCTCAGATCTGGGGTGTTGTTGAGGACTCCCCAGCCTGCAGACCTGGGAGGGGACTTAAGGGAGGCCTGTGTTTTATAGATAGGGAAACAGGTTCAGATAGGGCAGGGTAAGGACCTTCCACTGGATGACCTGCCTGTTTGGAGTGTGGATATGTTTAGAAGAAACAGCAACTTCTGTCTTTGTTTAACATTTATTACAAAGTAAAGCAGAGACTGGTGAGCGGCGCCACCCCCTCCATCTCCTCCCTGCCTCCCACCTGCTCCCCAGGATGCTCTCTGCAACTCTGGAAAAATGCTGTTCTCTTGCTCTCCCACCAGGGGGCGCCGCCTTCTGCCTTGTCCCAGCCTCAAGCCTGGTTCCTTCAGCTCTACCGTCCAGCGGTAACTGAGGCACCCGGGATCTGGGACTCTGGGCTCCCATTCCCCTCCTCCTCTGGGCCCCAGCTGTCCCATCCCCCAGGAACCTCCACTTCTAACTGAAAGGTGGAGGTCTATAGCAGCACAATGAGGATGTCTTTGTTGAGGGTTTGTGGGGTAGTGGTGATCATTTTCTTATTTGGGGCCTCAGGGGTGGGCCACGGCCTCCCCTCTTCAGCTAGTGTTCCTTCCAGCAGCCTCAGCAAGTCAACCCACCCCAAGGTGGGGCCCCCTTGGGTCCTTGCACTTGAGGTGCTTTATTCATGGGGCTGGGTCAGGAATAGCAGGGAGAATGTCCTTGACCTCAATCCTGGGGAAAGTCGCCTGGTTCTTCCTCCATGGATCCTGGGGAGACAAACAGAAATGGATAGACCGGCAGGCCAGAAACCAGAGGAGGAGAAACAGCGGGTAGACTGAAGTAGAAACAGAGAGAAACCAGGGGACAGGAGGAAGAAAGAGCATGGGTGTACCCAGCACCAAGAGATGGGGGGCAGCTGGACATTTGGACAGAGCCAGAGAATGTGCCCAGAGCCAGAGACCAAGCAAAGAAAGAGGTAGAGGGTATTGAGGGTCAGCAAAGGGGAGAAGAAATGTCTCCTTCCTTCACTGCCTGGCCAGCCCCGAACTTGGGGTCCTTTCCTACAGACACAGCCAGAGCAGAAAGTAAAGAGTGGCCTTATCTCCAAGCCATCCCCAACCCCCTTCGCCATGGGGGTGCTGGCCACCGGCACCATTCCTCCAGAATGCTTTCCTGCCCGAGCCCCAGCCTCCTCACCAGCTACGTGGCCTCCTGGCTGGGTTCTGGAAGCTTCCGTGGCCCCAGGGTAGTGCTAAGCAGCTCAGTCAAGGTGTCCAGCTTCCCTGCCAGTGCATCAATCCGCTTCTCCAGGGCCTGTTGTGAGCTGCTCAAACCCAGTTGTAAGTCACACAGGATCATGTGCATCTGGGCAGAGAGAGGGTGGGAGGTATCGGGGCTGGGGTACACCCTCCCTAACCTGTGGAGTAAGGCAACGGAACCAGCATTCTAAATCCTTACAGGCCCTCGATAATAATTACGGTAATCTTCGGTAATAAGTCATCATTTATTGATCTCCTATCACACCCCAGCTACTTGACCAGGCGCTTTTCATGTATGGTATAAAATCCTAAATGCCATGGGGAGTGAGAATCTTGTTTGTTATTTTATAGCTGAGGAAACGGAGGCCTGGAGCAGCTAACTGACACGCCCAAGGCAGCACCTAGAACAGGGCCTAGGACGTAGTAGGTGCTCACTAAATATTGGTTGAATTGAATGCCTGACTTTGAAATCCACATAGCCCTTTCACTGCCTTCTCAAACCAGGGTTTACAGCTTCATCCGTGAGTATGTGTGAACTTCTCAGAATTCTTCTATTCTGTGTTTTTGGCTCGATAATCTTCAGAAATGATGACCTGCCAATTCTGGCAGATCTAGCCTACCACCTCCTCACAGAGACACGCCATGCAGCATAGGGACCTGTATCTGTGACTGTGTTTACTGTGGCATGGGTGCCCAGGGCCACTGTTTGAATGATCACGGACTAATGAGAAGCCACCGGATAAGCAAAAGACGCTGTGAGTCAAGCCAAGGGGTCCCTGAGCACTGGTGGAATCAAGGGGTCCCAGCAGGAGGGGGGCAAGCTGGGCTGCTTGGCCAGGCAGGTGAAGGCCCCCTCTTCACAACAGCAGCAGAGATTTTTACTGAAACAATGTCACCTTCCCCATGTCACTTGTTAATTTGCATTTTATTGGTTTTCCATGTTTGAACTTGGTTTGTAAATTTGCTTTGGTTTTATTATTGTATACGAGTCAGAGTTGGAAGGAATTTTATATCCGTCCACATGTAAGTAACTTGACAATAAGAATAATTTAAAACCAAACACTGGCGTTCTTTGTGCAGTTCCTTTTTTTTTTTAAGTTTAAAAGGGATCTCTCTGTACCTTACGTGAGTTTAAGAAAGTGTGTATTGTGTCATTCATTCATTCAACCACAAACCTTTATTGAGTGCAGGTGTGTGCCAGGCCCCGGCCAGTGTTCCCTATTCCAGGGCCAGATGTCCCTGCCCACGGCCCCGACCTCCCTCCTCTCCTGGACCTGCTCCCACCAGATCCCGGTACCTTGGAGATGTCCACCATGGAGTTCACTTGTTCCCGGAGCTTTCGGTGCTTCAGCCGCACCTGGCGAAACCTGTGGGAAGAAGTAGGGGGTCAGTTTTCCTATAAGCCTTGTCCCCAGATGTGGCCCTAACTCAGGGGAGCGATAGGGGAGGAGAGACCCACATATACACAGTACAAAGAGGAAAAGTTCCCAGAGAGCTGAAGGGGTGGGAGGGGAGGGGCTGCACCCATGAGTCTGCCTCCCTGGTAAGAGACCCAGGTATCCAGGCCCACACAGAGTGGCCTGGACCCACAGACACACTCTGAGACATGCAGAATCAACTGTCATAGACACAGTCACTGAGGTCCAGGCAGACATCTGTTCAGTCACACATGGGTGTGCATGTGTGTACACGCACATATGCCGTGCAGAGAGGGGATGTGGACATGGGTGTGCACGTGTACACACACACACACACACACACACACACACACACACACACACACACACACACCGGCCCTCACGTGTTGATAGCGGCCAGCAGCTTGCGCTGGTGCCTGCGGGCAGCTCTAGAGTCCTTCCTACGGGTATGTTTGTAGAACATCCAGGCCTCTTGCAGCACTTTGGCAGCTGACTCCTTCATCTGGGGGTGGATAGCAGTGTCAGTGCAGATAGATCCCTAGGTTCTGGGAAGAGGGGGCTGGGGCCTGGACTCCTGGGCCTGAGGGAGGAGGGGCTGGGGGCTGGGACTGCTGGTCTGAGGGAGGGGGGGCTGGGGGCATGGACCCCTGGGACCGAGGCAGGAAGGGTTTGGGATTGGGACTCCTGTGGAGGCCGGTCATCACCTCTTTGGCATACTGGATGTCCATCATGAAGTTGTGCACGTGCTTCTCTGCCTTATTAAACTCCAGCTTCCGGGCCACCACGGCTACCAGCAGGGCTGTGCAGCAGACCCCCTGTGGACACAGCAGGCACTATGACCCAAGGGCTCTGGGGCTCTGTAGTTCAGTCCTGTGTCAACAATTCTCTCCTTGAACCCTCCCAACAGCCACAGAAGGCAGGCACAACCACCACTGGTTGATAGACGAGCAAATAAGCTCGGAGAGAACCGAGGTCCCAGAGCTCCAAGGGGTGGAGCTAGGACCAGAAATCATGTGTTTGAGACCAACTCTTGTGCATAGTATTTGCACCATCAGAGTGTTCTCTTTAAGGGTATGATTGCAGGAGGGGAGAAGGGCTGGTTCCGGGTGAGGGGCAGACCTCGGGCTCCTGTGGGACCCCTTCCTTCCCACTGCTCACACCCAGTTGGCCATGAGGTCACC